GGTTTCCCTAATTTCCATAAGCGCCAAATGCCACAGGTGGCTGCATATTTTAATTGTCAGCCTCACTTTCCCCATTTCTTTAAGAAAATAGGCTTGGAAAAAAAAAAGAAAATGGGTTTGGTTTTTTGCATCCTTTACAATTACAATGGCTGCTTCAGGATTTAGGTTTTTTTTTTTTTTTTTTACACTAAACCTTAACTGTACAATTGTCACATAAACAAATCCTTTCAGTGGGAAACAAACTATTTAAGGCTTCAGTAGGCAAACGGCTGAGAATGAATGGCAGAGCACCAATCCAGAGACAGCAGGAGGCCACATTTCTCTATGATGCAGCTGGTGAGCAGGCTATTGTTGGAGTTGCTGCTGGGAGCCCAGTTGCCAGTGTGGAAGCCTGGTCCTCTTCCAGCATGTATTTGGCCCGACTTCACTGGCATTAGACCACCACCACACTCCACCCGGCACCGCCTTCCCGCAAATGCAAACCCCCAGAGGACTGCAATGCCGGCAACTTACTTCATTCTGTTGCTTTAAGATGCAGGCATGTTGGTCCTTGGGTTATAAAGCTGGCTTCCTTTCATGTGTTCCATTTCGCGATCCTGCTGAAGGCCCAGCTTTGGTAAGGATGACGATTTGGTCTACTGAACTACAAAGAACAAAAGAAGCTGGGTGAATGTCAGGAAAGAAGACATAGAGGGTGCTGGTTCTTTAAATTCTGCCTGATAATAGATGCTTCTGGATCATTTTCAGCTAGCTAGGTTTCCACTTGTAGTCAGAGCCATTCATTACCATTCATGTTAGCATTAAAAGAGAAGCTACTCACTGGAAGCACAGTGAATGTTGCAGTGTGGAAACAGCTGGTTAAGTTCTCCTACAGAGCTTCCAGGGTGGCTTTGAGAAGTGCCAGGGCTGTGGCAGCTTTTCTCCTAGAAGAAAGAACCGTTTGCACAGCTGAGTTACAGCTCCCTAGTACACCGTGCAGGTTTACCCTACACCCCCACTTTCACAGCCTCACAGCGAGATGCTTCCCTGGTAGTCAGGAAGCTGTTCTTAGCAAATGATAATTATAACTCGACTATGGGACTGGAGAGATGGCTACGCAGTAAAGAGCACTGGCTGCCTTCCAGGTCCTGAGCTCACTTTCCAGCAAACACACAGTGGCTCACAACCATCTCATATAACAGCATCTGATGCCCTCTTCTGGCATGAAGTGTACATGCAACCAGAGCACTCATGCGTTGTAAAAAAAAAAATTCAAACAAAATAAAACATAACAAGTCAAAGTCTTAGCTACAATGGAAAACAAGATCAAAATTAAAACTATTTTCACACCTAGCGTTAGGATTCAATTCTCAGCAACCGCATGGTGGCTCACAACCATCTATACTATAATGGGATCCGATGCCCTCTTGTGGCGTGCAAGTGTACATGCAGACAGACCACTCATACAAATAAAAGGCTGATTACAATGGAAAACAAGATCAAAATTAACATTACTTATTACACTGAGAAAACTTACCTATCTTGATGTTGGGTGGCTGTCTTTGACTCTTTATCTTCCTTGCTGGGTTCAGCGAACTGTCTCCCCCAAATCTCCCGGCTAGGACTGTTGCCCAGTGCTGGTGAGCTATTCCCCTGGAGGACCCTCATGCCCCATCTCCACCTAGGGGTCGTCAAAGGGAATAGGTCGCCAGGACGGCAAAGCAACAAGTCCATACTTCTGGGGAAAGATCTGGAAAAAGGGTGAAAGAAAAAAACAAATTACTGAAGTCAAGTCCACTGGGAAATGTGCACCCTTATGTGGTATTCAGCAGTTCTGTTAATCATATAGACTTTTTGTTGGTGGTAAGATAGATAGATGATTGGTAGATAGATAGATAGATAGATAGATCTTTATGTTATGCCTATCAACTTAGTGACATGAGAATTGTCCCATCTGAGCTCTTTATTCTCTGGTGTCTACCCATGAGTAATCCTTACAGATTGTTTAAGCACTTGTATATTATAGTCAAATATGCTGGGGATGTTTAAGCACTTGTGTATTTTATAATCAAATAACGCTCGGGATAAAAGGGCTAAGCAAACTTAGAGTTGAAACCAGTGGAAGGATTAGGCTATGAAGCCATTTATGATCTGTAAAAATCCTCCACATGTGCCTCTGACTTCTTTGATAATGGTGTGTGTGCTTTATTTTTTTTTTAAGATTTTATTTATTTATTATGTACATAGTGTTTCCTTGCATGTTTGCCCACAGGCCAGAAGAGGGCATCAGATCTCAGTACAGATGGTTGTGAGCCACCATGTGGTTGCTGGGAATTGAACTTAGGACCTCTGGATGAACAGTCAGTGCTCTTAACCTCTGAGCCATCTCTCCAGCCCTGTGTGTTTTATTTTTTAAAGACTTATTTATTATGTATAGTGCTCTGCCTGCTTGTATGCCTGCAGACCAGAAGAGGGCATCAGGACCTTTGGAAGAACAGACAGCACTTTTAACTGCTGAGCCGTCTCTCCAGCTCCCTCGTGTGTGTTTTTAGGTATGTATACAGTTCTGCCTGCAGGCCAGAAGAGGGCGCCAGATCTCATTACAGCCCCTCCCCCCCACCATGTTTTTAGGTATGTACACAGTTCTGCCTACAGGCCAGAAGAGGGCGCCAGATCTCATTACAGCTTCCCGTGTTTTTTTTTAATAAATATTTATTTATTTATTATGTATTCAATATTCTGTCTGTGTATGCCTGAAGGCCAGAAGAGGGCGCCAGACCTCTTTACAGATGGTTGTGAGCCACCATGTGGTTGCTGGGAATTGAACTCAGGACCTTTGGAAGAGCAGGCAATGCTCTTAACCACTGAGCCATCTCTCCAGCCCCCGTGTGTTTTTTTTAAAGATTTATTATGTATACAGTTCTGCCTGCATGTGTGCCCACAGGCCAGGAGAGGGCGCCAGCTCATTACAGATGGTTGTGGGCCACCACCTGCTTGCTGGGCGTTGAACTCAGGACTTCTGAAAGAGCAAACTGAGTGGTCTATATTAATCAAAGTGCCTGTTGTCACCTGGTTGTGGGGCATCTCCCTCTTTTAACTGGTGCTTTAAGTAATACCCATGCTGGAACACCGCCAAAATGAATAGAACTGGGGTTTGCTCCATCCTTATGTTCTCTAGCACCTGATGCAGCATTGCACCTGCAGAGCTCAAGGATAATCAGAGCAACCACAAAATGTCCTTGTGTCAATCGCTAAAGGCCAGAGTACCAGAAACTAGCCTTCACAGGCTGTCATTCCTCTGATGTGTTACCTTTTAAGCGGTTCAAAGCAGAACAGATTCAAGTTTGCCGTAGAAAGGTGGGAACCATTTCAAGGCCTAATCACAAGGCAAGGGTCTCACTGGTGACTATGCAATGAGAAGAGGTGTGCTTTATTGATTTGCCTCTCTCACTCTTCTCATGAAATGGAGATCGAATACGCTTACTACCCTTTCCACCTCAGTGGAGCTCATATCAGTATAGAGGACACAGATCAAATACACGATCTCAGTATAAAGGAAACAGACCCAATACATGGTAGAAGTTTACAAATGTACGTTTATGTGCAAGGAGAAAATGGTGTAGGAATGGCTGGTTCTGCTTTTACAAGAAAAGGCTGCCGAAAACTAAAGCCTTAAAATCAGACAGAACCCCAAGAATAGGAACTTCTCCCAAGTACCCTTTTCTTCATGTGGCCTGCATGTTCTTTGCTCAGATTAGCTAGAGCATGTCCAGAGTCTCGAAAGGAGAGCACTGCTGGATTTGAATAGAGTTGAATGAAGGCTGTATCAGCTGCTGGCAGTCCTTGACGTCTGCCAGAATTATCCCTGTGAAGAAAGACAAGGCTTTTATTAGACTATAAGAACTGTTGAGAAAAACCCAAATGATAAAAGAAAACAACAAAATATCTAGGAATTATAACCTGACACATTAGACCCTTAAAGACAGATTATATATATAGCTCAATCAGCCAAGTTATCAACTCTACCTTATACTCATCTTTGGATGCTGTCTAGAATCCATTCTTCTAAAACCAGGCCATCCTTCTTCAATTGAGGCACAAAACCAACTCCAAATTCATCCCTGGAAAACAAGTTCCAATGATAGTTATACCATGATGCCAAAAGATAATTTGATTACAATATCCATATATGCACAGACCAGTGTTTCTTGAATTGGGATGGTAAGAACTTGGTTAGAGAATCGTGGATATGTTCTCATGGATTCCAAGTTCTAAGAGTTGTGAAGAGAAAAAAAGTTTTTGAAATTGAAAAACATGTCCACATTTCAAAGACTTTTCTTTTCCTTTTTAAAACCTTAAGGAACGAAGTTCCCTGATGACTACACAGATCTTCCCCAGGAGTGAGCCGGTGGACTAAGGGCAAGAGACAGACAGAACGGGCTCCTTGGACTGGGAGGGCAGGATGCAGGCTGGGCAGTGGCTACATTATAGGGTAGTGCACATGCAGAGGCCTGGTCTGCTTTCCGGCACAGGGTTTTGCACAATCAGCAGGCAAAATCCACTACTTCCACTCCCATGGCTTAATGGAGGTGTGGTTCATGGGTACTTTATAGTGCCACTGGGGTCATGTAGGACCAGGTTGCTATCAAAGAGCTGCCTGCTGGCACAACCCGATCTCTTTTGAAAAGGGTATGGCCATTGGTGACAGTGGTTTGGATGGTGAATACCATACCGGCAGCACTAGCTTCCTTTGGGCCATTGTCTGAACTCTTGAGTTCTAACCTCTATTTAGGTCCAGAGGGGGCAGGTTGCAAGAACTGGGTGCCTAGGCAAGCCTGGGTGTGGGTGATGGGTTCAGGCGGTCTGCACGTCCTGGGGCGGTCTGTGATGCTAAGGTTGAGGCAGACACATTCTTTAGACTCTCAGGAAACTTTTGTTCCTTGGAAAGGTTTACTTGAATTTGAAAAACAATGGCCGGGTTTTCTTTCCCAAAGAATTCAATACCTCTGCCTTATCCCTAGGTGCTGACCTAGGAATGTGGGAACCAGGCGAGAAGGAATTTTTAGCGGAATTAAAATGATACTGCCTGAAGATCATTTGCAAGAGCAAAACAAATGCAAAACGTGTTCTGGGCAAGAATGTTTTTCCAGCTGGACCTTGTTCTGCTTCCAGAAATAAGTATGTTTTTTTAAACTTAAAGTACCCTTGAAGAAACACTCGGAGGGCCTGGGAGCGCTGGCACACACCTTTAATCCCAGCACTCCAGGCAGCGCTCCAGGAAGCGCTTCCTTTTTCCCAAAGCAACTCGGGGCAGTTCTTTTGGGCAGCTCTCCTAGCTAGGCACCACTTCGTAGGCAGAGGCAGGGGGATCTCTTTGAGTTTGAAGTCTAGAGCTCCAGGACAACCAAGGCTACACAGAGAAAGAAATCCTGTCTCAAAAGAAAAAATACCAATAATCAAAGAATTAATTTTAAAAAGGAAAATGGGGGAGGAGAGAATGCAAAAACCACAGCATAAAGTAGATCAGGCTTCTCCATTGCCCTTTAGGTAAAAGGTAAAGATTGTAAATTTAAAAGTCACCTTTGATCTTTATGAGCCATTGTCGTCTGTTCTGGGGAAGAAATGTAGTAAAAAAATGGTTGAAAAAGCCAAATTATCAAATTTATATCCCCAATTCCTGCACTTAATTCCCAAGCTCAAGCTTCTGGGACTCAGTGACTGGCCCTTGCCATCCTTGGCATATAGCCAAGTATAATGGCTGCCTCCTGTATTCTTAATACCTTTATATGCCCCCAAGAGGCAAGAACAGATGGCATTCGAATCAACCAACTGGGCTACCCAGATGGCACAAGTAATCTGGACCAAGGGTGCAATGTAAGCACGCTTTTCTTCCTAAAGAAGAAGTCACGACCTTGCAAGCCCAGTAGACTTTCTAAAATACTTAATTCACTAGACAATATTTGACCATCATTTCCTAAAACGATTGCTCGTGTTTATTTTACAGTAAGTCTTCAACAACACAAGCATCGGAAAAGAAATTATGTAAAATAGGATTGCTTCTCATTCAGTGTTCACTGTCATAGGGCTGGACACACAGTATCAACTCTACAATTTCCTTGGCATACAGCTGCATCGTGTATAAGTTGAGAGGAACTTAGTCACTCTGACTTTTCAGTGGGTGGCACGTACATGAAAAATCGAATTGGGAAGTTTGCCTAGTAGCTACAAAGTAGTTACTTACCGTATTCCAGAGTCTTCTGTAGCCATCTGAAGGGCTGAAGCTCCACCTGTATCCTGAACTGGGTCGATTTCTTGACATCCTTCTCAGAAAAATAGTATTTTTTTTTCCCCAGAAACTTTGAAGAACTGTGGTTTCATCAGCAATTCTTGCGGGCTGGCAAGATGGCTCAGAGTGAAGGCGCTTGCTGCCAAACCTGACGATCTGAGTTTTTATCTCCAGGGACCCAAAAGGTAGAACCAGTTCCCATTGCTCTCTGGTCACCAATGCGAATGCACGAGTACAGATACTCAAGTGCACATGCAAACACGCGCGCGCGCGCACACACACACACACACACAAACTCATTCATGCACAATAATTAAAGAACAAAAACCAGAAAGCTTAAATACTCGGCGCCAATAGAGACAGATATTTTCTTAATAGGCGGATCTCTCTTTGAAGTGTACTCTCAAGAATGATTAGATCTGGGCATATATATATATATGTATATATATATTAAAATATAAAGTGGGGAAACAGGCTCCATCATTTTATAAGTTCCCACTTTAGGGTGGCTTCTTTTTTTTTTCAAGCTGCTTCAAATCATTGCCCAAATTTAATGGCAGATAGAGTGAATTAATCACATGGTGGCCTACTCAAAGACAACTTGACATGTCCTCTCACTTAATCCTTTCGCAGCCACCTTCTTAAAGTCAGTAGGGGCTAGCGTTCAATGTCAGGCCAAATTTAAATATTAAAATGTTTGGTCATTTTCCTTAAAGATAATGATACTGAAGGCCACACACAGATTGAGTTTTGTATTTAAACTGGTAGTACAGACCAAACATACATCCTGGCCTTAAGCAAGCCATTCTACAACCACTTTGATGGTATTGGAATAACAGTTACAGTGGTTTCTCCACAGACTCGCCACCCTCAGTAAAATGAGAGACACTGCTTGGTCATCAGATATATAGTAGAAGCAAGATATTTTCACTTCAGAAAAGCTAACGATCACATAATCAATTCCACCTGGCAAGCCAGAGGCCTTTCTTAAAGGCATAAACTATCAAAAACTTTTCTGGCAGTTGGCACTGTACGTAGCAATATACCAAAAGAAACAAGTTGAGTTTGTTAAGCAGGCGGTCAGCTCCTGGAGGAAGGGTGTAAAGAAAGTACTAGCTCACCCTCCTTTGGGAGACAATTTTCAGTTGATACTGTATAAGGAAAGCTCCAAATCCAGCTCCCTGAGCAAGTTGCCTGAAATATTTTTTTGCACAATAAAGCATTAATAAAGGTGGGCAGGAATGATTCCTGGCCCTAGAATATGCCAGCAATTGGAATTGGAGTAATTAAGAAATGCAGGCTGAAGAGCGATGCCTCATCCACCTAGCTTTGGCCCGCTTTTGAAATTTTACATGTACAAATACATCAAAGTTGCAGGGAGCTCTGGGACACATGGGCTGAAAAGTGGGACCGTCCATCGGTGCTGTGTTCATTAATGACACACAGGTTGCTTTGGATAATCGACAGCATAGTGCGGTGGAGGTCCAAGCAGAGGGCAACTGCAACACTGCAGCCATGTGCAGCGGGTAAGCTGATGACGTCTGGGATTGTTGACTTTAAGTCAAGAGAAGGGCTCAACAAAGAGGCAGACGGGACAGGGTGATGAAACTGGGAAAAGGGTGCCAAGGTCTTCAACATTGGATTGTGAGAATTAGTAGTCCAGGAGAGTGGTCCATGGACAAACTAGGGACCGGGCAGAAGGAAGACTGCATAAAAGTATGAGATCGTGGCTATTTGGGGTTTTGTGTACTGGAGCAATGCAAAAGGGATGGAAAGATGGGCCACTGTTGGGTGGACAAAACATAGGCATACGGCAGTATTTTACTTTATTATGCCAGGGGGAAACTAGAGGAGGGGATTTGCTCAACATGTCAGAGTAGAAAATAAACCATCAAGAGCTGCCATTGTGCCTGTTAATAGTCCCCGAATAAGCCGTTGGTCATAACCACTGTGCTCATTAACAGTCCCAGATGTTTTAGATGGATCAGCAGCCCCTGCGGTAATGCAAAGGGGGGTATGAGAAAATAGTATTCTAGGCATTCGTAATTGCAAATACGCACACTTATTAATAACTCAGGGGCTCAGTTGGTCAGTACTCTTTAATGGTATGTAAAGAGAGTACGGAGGTCCAACTAATAATTGGTACTCTTGACATGGTTGCACAGCAATCAGTCATCCAGATGCTGAGGTTATAAGCAGTTATCACTCCTCAGCAGCCCCAGTCAAAAGGTAGAAACTTAGGAACCTTTTTGCGCTACACAGGTCCGTAGGTGTAAGTGTACATATTAATATACGTAAGAGAGAAGTGCTCAAAAAATAGTTTATGTGCCTCTGATGTCAAAGGAGTCCAAGGATGTAAAATCCTACTCCAAAGGTAAGGATGGACAACTGCGTTAATGCACACTGAAGTCCAAATGAAAGGCACAGTGGGAAAACCTCTTTCTGCTTTAAAGCAGAGGAAGAGGGTATAGGGTTTCTGATACAAAGAAGTGCCACTGTGCATGTGAACTTTCCACTTCCTCCTAAAAGTAATAAGGAGCAAATGGGATCCTTTTCTAGTGCCCAGAGCAGGAGGAAACGCATATGCACACATACAACATATAATACATACTGACAGTCCAAAAGAAGGCAGCCTTGGTTGATCCGCATACCCTGCCGCACTGCAAATGAAAGGTGAAAGAATATGACTTTTGTCTACTGACAAAGGAAAATATCCACTGTATTTTAATGGTCCACTAGCAGGGACCTTGGAAACTAGTATCCCTTGCAATAGTGCAAAAGAGACACAATGGTCCTCAAAGTAATAAGGTCGTGGATAAGTGCAATTTTGCACATTAACTGGCCAAATATTCTTATTAAAATGAATGAATCATGTCCCTTCTGTGTACATTAATGTTCAAGGGACACAGTATGGTTAATTAAAACCACATCCTTTCCACAAATATTAAGACCTTAAAGTAATGGCCGCTGCTGGAAATCAAAGGCAGTGGAAAAGAGAGGAGAGATCCTTACTCAGTGTCCAGGAAGCCGGAGAAGCCAAGAGATTAGTGACCCTTGCGGTACTGCAAAAGGGTCTGAGAGTAGGATCTTATTCAAATGGAAGGAGTCATGCGCAGTTGTACTCAAGGTACATGGTTGTGGCCATCATAGTTTTGCACTTTGTTCAAACATGAGAATCTTTGGCAATGTGCATTCCCTGGTGAAAGGGAGTGCATAGGGTGGCCAGTGATGTCCTGTAGCGGACAGAAAAGAGCAAATGCAATCAGACATTCTTAGCAAGCCACAACATGGGACCTTATAGGTCACCACCACTGCTGTGCTTCAAAAGGAGGCTAAAACGGATCCTTCTGAAATTATCATTATGAGCAGTAGCAGGCTGAGAAAGGAACTTTACATCAACAGCCCCTACATAGTTTCATTAAATGAAGGACCATTAACAATATTGGAATCATTTCTATAGCTTCAAGAAAGAGACTATAGTGTTAGTGAGCCTCTTTGCTTTGATACGTACAGGAGTTGTGATCTAAAAGGCACACCTGTGGACGTACTATCTATGAGGCAATTAACACTGTGCACGTTTACTGTATTAAGGATCATAAGTACTAGGCACCTCTTGCTGCAATAAAACGGGTTGTTAAGGTTATTATTACCCAAGGCATACTATGATAGCTAAATGAAGTATGCACATTCAGAGTCTGCGAGACTGCAGGGCATGGAGGTGGATGCCACTTATGCCAGTACTTGTGAAATAAAGGCTTGATCCTGAGCTCGAGGCCAGCCTGGGCTATATAGTAAGTTCCTGATCAGCCTGCAAATTCTAAACAAAAACAGTTTGAATCTGAGTTCAAAGGTCTTGCTAAATAAGCGACTGAGTTTGGTTTCTTTATCCAATGCTCAGGAATAAGGACAAATGCAGCTGTACACATAAAAACAGGCAGAAGCGGTGACAATGCCCGTAGTTCCAGTAACCGGGACTGAGAAGGGACTGAATTGTCAGCCCAGGCTCCGTAAAGAGACTTACTCTTAAACAGCCACAAGGTGGTGCTGTAGCTCCGTGGCAGAGTGCTTTACCAGCGTGCACAAGCTTTAAGTTTGATCCCCAGCACAACCAAAAGACCAGAACAAAGGGCCTTATCGGTGGCACCCTCTATTGTCACCCATTACGGTGTGAGGGTATGGGGCTTGAGCAACTGCAGTTTTGCACAACTGTATAAGAGGCTTTAGGTAATCAGCACCCTCTTAACGTAAAGCAAGGCTGTACAAGGAAGGACCTTGAGAAATGGTTCCGTTTCTAATTAGGATTGTCCATATCAATAGGGGAGCTGATGGGACTAGTATTCAGTATCATGGACAAATGAATTTATGTCCATCATCAACTCAAAAATTGTAACCTGGGGTGATAGCACCAATGCCAGGTTATAGTGCCCCCCCCCCTTTAATAGCCAAGGCCTTGAGAATTGGAAGCGAGCACCTTAACTGTCTGTTAACAGACTTGTATTTGCCCCTCTGCTGAATGCAAATGGGGCTGGACTAGCTAGAGTCTAACCAAATGAATAAATTAGGGACAATAAGAATTAGTGCAAAGAGTGCTCAAGACTGAGAAAAGACTACTGAGCACTGCTCAGAAAATTGGGACTGTGGCTACTGCAGCAATGACAGAATGGTTTTTCCTTTCTTAAAGAAAGGAGACTTAGGAGATCACGCCTTGATGGTAATTCTCTGAAATGAAACTCTTGTTCAATTGGTGTTTCTTGATTAACATGAGGGACAAGAGTTCTTTGTTATAATACTAGAGTCCATGGACAAGTAGGACTGTGGCATTAAGTGAAAATCATGACTCGGGCAGTCACCATGGAGGGGAAAGAGTCAGGACAAGTAATGGGCAAGGCATTTTTAGCGCATACTCAGTGAAGATTGGAATGTCTCTAGGGAGAAAGGGCCTGGGGTTAGAGCCTGGGGCTAGGGCTGAAAGAATCTGGGGCTGGGCTGGGGTGGGGCAGGGACGGGGCTAGGGCTGGGCTAGGGTTGGGCTAGGGGGGGGCTGGGGTTGGGTGGGGCAGGGGCTGGGGGCAAGGGCAAGGGCTGTTAGGTCTAAGGAGAAACTGGATGCTACAAAGGCAAGGAGCCATAGAAAGTTGATATGTGGGCATTAATATCCCAATAGTAAGTCCGACAGAGGGCACCAGACCACTCAAGTCATTAGTCAATGTAGTATCAAGAATGGCAACAAAAGCAAAGCCTGGACTAAAGTAGATTTTCAAATACTCCTTTTGATATCCAATCACAAGATTAACTTTCCATTAACGATATCTGTGTCATAAGACTCTTAAAAGTTTTTAACAGTACTTCAATAGATAGTTTGAAAGAACGTAAATTTAAGTGACTTGAGTATCATCTGCCAAAAAAGTTAATGAATTTAAAAGAAGCTAAAAACACTAAGGACTCTGGACTGAAAGCATACAGTTATTCAGTTGAATTCTACAAGCAGCTCCTAAATACATTTCTATAATCACTCCAGCTTTAGATTCAAGCACTAGCAAACCACACTATCAAACTTCGCTGACATCCAAAACCTTCACATAAATCAAATTTAAACCCCAGCATTAGCCATGGGGTAGACGAGCCTGTGGAAGGAGGCAGGATTCCACCTCTTGGCCAGGGCTTTACTTGTAGTTCATTACGACTCTGGCCAGTGTCACCACAAAGCCCACAGCAGGCCTGGAGAACTGCTCAAGATGGCAGTGCGGACTACATACGGCAGTGCGGACTAAATACGGCAGTGCGGACTAAATCCTAGGCCAGGGAGTGAGTAGACAAGTCTCAGGCCACTGAACCAATACAAAGAAATGAAGTGAGGCTTAGCTTGTACCACCATATAGAGCACTGCAAAAGACCGATTTAGACAAATAGGAGAGCAAGTGATAAATTACTCTCCTCGGAGAGGAGAAACGTTAACCTGACCTCCTCACTGATTCTCTTCCTTCTTTTTAATAGGTGAGGCTTCAATGTGCAATCCACATCGACCTCAACCTCAAGAACCTCCACCCGCAAGTCTCTCAGATTGGATCGCCATTCAATACCTCAAATGTTAGAACTAAAAGCCCGTGCCTTCACATCTGGGTAGCCAAGGTAACTCAAGTCCTTGTAGGACAGTGAGTCTTCACAGTCTACTTCAATCCTCTACACCAAGTAGAAGTGCCCATTTTTGACTAGTTAAGTCAAGAGGCAACCAACACTTCCAAAGTAGTACACATTTCTGATTAAGTGGCAAACTTCCAACTGGGCTTCGAGTGGCACAAGGTAAAACCAACCACTCCCATCTTAATGCACTAAGTACATCTTGGACAAGGACAAAGCCCGCCATGCGTGACTAAGCAAAGCCCGCCAAGATTAAGCCCGCCAAGACTAAGCCCGCCAGGAAGAAAAAACCCTCGAGGGACAATCACGTGACATCGCCATCTTGGCCACCCCAAAGCATGTGCTACATTGTCCTCCAGGCTAACTTTGGCCACCAGACTGGCCTGTGAAAAACAAAGCCCGCTACCTTATACTGCAGCAAGAGCTCGAGACGCCATCTTCTCTTGTGTAACCTAAATGCTCTACTTCCACGCTACACGTTAGAATAAAGGTGGGGTTGTCGAGCCTCGGGTAGAGCAGCCGAGACACCATTTGATAAACCCTAACAAGCACCCCTTAGAATCTGGGCAGAGCCCCCCAGCAATATCGAAACATTGATTTCAAGCCCTATCCTGAAGTCTTATAAAGCTCCTTTTACATAACACCACACACGAACACGAGAGCTTGATTTTCTGCTTCCCGTTACCATGAGTCTTAAAAAGCCACAAATCAAGTCCAAACCCACACACATACAAAGCCTTTAGCTGGTGCAGCACACGATTGCCTCTGTCCAGTCCAGTGTCTACCTCGACCCCCTAATTCTAGCCATAACTGGCTCATGTCACGCAGCAACTGTAACATGGCGGAAACGGGCTCTCCACGCCCTTAACACCCACTCGGCTTAAGCGCAGTCATTTTTCTAAGCCATAGTTTCACTCACACACCACCAAACGATCAGCAGCGCAGCAAGAGGAAAGAAAAGAGGTATGGCTATTCCAGATAGTGCAATAATAACTCACAAAACCAACTTATATCCATCCACCAAATGCCCCGATGGGCAAAGGGAAAAAAAATGAAGCAGGTATCCACTACCCCGATGGGCAAAAAGAGAAAAAAAAAATTAAGCAGGTATCCAAAGGCCCCGATGGGCAAGGAAAGACTAAACGCAGGTATCCGAGGTCCCGATGGACCAAGAAATACGTTTTCTTGTAACAAAAAGCAGGTATCCATTGCCCCGGTGGGCTAAGGAAACAAAAAAAAAAAAAAAAAAAAGGAGCAGGTATCCTTAGCCCAGATGGGCAAGTTTAGAAGAAAGAGAAGGAAGAGGGAAAAAAAACCAAAACGAATTAAAAGCAGGTAAGTATCCACAGCCCCACTGGACATGGGGTGAAGGGAGAGGCAAGAAGGACACACATTCAACTGTAGCCCCGATGGGCAAAAACAGATGGAATAAAAGAAAGGTAAGTGCACAAAAGTCCACAAAACAGATGGCGACTAAAATGACTGACAAGGAAATAGTCATTAAAAATGAAAAATTGTCCAAAAATATTACAAATATCAAAATATGAAAGACGTGTCAAGAAAAACCTACCAGAACATATAAAATCTTCAAAAATATTATGGAATCTTGATATATTTTCTTAAATACACCATAAGGCATGGTGGTAAGGGAACTAAAAATGTTCCCAGAGACCCCGGTAGATGGACAGAGACCACAGAGGAGGCTCCCATCCACGGGAAACTGGCAAACATGGCTGCGGCGAGCACTTGCATGGGTTTAAATGATCGTGACGCCGAAGGCGGAGAGACCAGAAGAGGAGTGGCCAGAAATGCGGAAAAGTCCCGACTTCTTATTGGCGTTTTAATGCAAACTATTTTCTAAAAAGAGTAAGATGAAAATTAATTATGATTGTACCAAAACTCAATGACAGCGATCGAGAGAACCACCAAATTTGCATATTTTGTGTGATATTGAAGGATTATCCTCTATTTTATAGCTTATAGGAAAGGCACATAAACGTTGTATAATATATATGCATATTTTCAATATATAGTCTACTTGGACATCCGACCTTGCATAGCCCCTCGTCTTGGTGACTAAAATGCTTTACGGATCAATTGGTGCGCTCGAGTTAAGGAAAAAGAAGAGGTGCTCCACAAAATGGTTCCTTGGTTCCTAAATTATTAGAGTATTATTGGCTGTGACCTATTTGTACTGATTGCGCGCAGAATTTTGGTTCTGTATCATTTTTGTACTTTCCGGGAATCTGGTAACTCCAAACCTTGAACCAAAAAGGCACTTAAAAAGTTTACTTCCTAGCAGCGGTAGAAAAATCTCTAAAAGCCAAAGCAAAAGTTGAGAAATATCTCAGCGGTGTGGCACTTGCCCTAGAGAAACAGTTAACTTAGAGAATTGTTCAATTTTATTCATTGAAAACCGCGGGACAGCAGCCTGAAAGAGATTAAACACCAGGTGTTAAGAACAATCAAAGAATACAATGCTTGGTTGATTCAATTAAACAAAATATGTCACTGGGCATCAGATGAATAAATAATAAAGAACACAAAATTGTTTTGCTTAGAGACCTTCCAAGTACCTACAATTCACTATTCTGTACATCACAGTGGTTCACATCAGGGAGGGGAATGAAGAAACGATGCCTTCATTTCTACGATGAAATGAAAAAACTCTGTCTCAACAAAAGAAAATGAAAATAATGAATAAAAAAATAGTATACACAGCCTGAATAAGCCAGCAGATGGCGGCATGAATCTTTCAAAGGCATTTGAAGCCAGCCTTGGAGTCCAAGATTGGGATCTGAATTGAAGGCCAAAGGCTACCTATCCAGGCAGCCAGCTAACTACACTGGCAATCTTGGCCTCAAGAAACCCACATCTTGTCAGCCTAAAATCTACTGGGGGGATTTGGTCTTTTATAAAAAAATTGAATAAAAGCCGGGGGCGATAGTGGCGCACACCTTTAATCCCAGCACTCCCCAGCACTAGGGAGGCAGAGGCAGGCGGATCTCTGAGTTCAAGGCCAGCCTGGTCTACAAGAGCTAGTTCCCTGACAGGCTCCAAAACCACAGAGAAACCCTGTCTCGTAAAAAAAAAAAAAAAAAACAACAAAAGTTGACTAAAGACTTCCAAAGTTCATGAGTCAACAGCTTATTGTCTAAATTCCCTCTAAAGCAGTCTATAGATCTAGTATAATCCTTTTCGCAATTCTAATGTGACATTCTTCACATAAATTGAAAAAAAAGAACACAAAAATTCATATGTGGGGGGGAACAACAAAATCTGAATAGCCAATACTGAGCCAAAGGTGATGCTAGAGACCTCAAAATACCTGTCTTCAAATTGTATTATACAGCCCAGCCGGGCGGTGGTGGCGCACGCCTTTAATCCCAGCACTCGGGAGGCAGAGGCAGGCAGATCTCTGTGAGTTTGAGGCCAGCCTGGTCTAGTTCCAGGACAGGAACCAAAAAGCTACGGAGAAACCCTGTCTCGAAAATTAAAAAAAAAAAAATGTATTACACAACGAGGTTCGTGCCTGTGAATCCCACCCAGCACTTGGGAGTTGAAGGCAGGAGAATCTGGAAGATGCACAGAGAATTTGAGACCAGATTGACCTACATGACATCTAGCTTCAAATGAATAAACAAGTTACACCACAAAATCAACCTGGTATTCCCACACAGGCAGGCTTATACATTAGTAAGGTAGAATAACGGACTGAAACACACACAGCTATAGCCATTGGATTCTTGACAATAGTGCCCAAACCATACATTTGAGACATACAGCATCTTTGACAAGTGATGTTTGCCATACTGGGTACCCATATGTGAAAGACTATAAGTGGATACCTATCCCACCCTTCACAGAATCAACTGACAATTCCAGCTCCGAGGGAAGTTTTATTCTGGCCTACGTGAGCACCCTCACAAATGTGACACATTTTTAAAAATACAAAATCTTTATAAATGACAGTTCAGGCTGGGGATAAAGTAGACTACTTCCTCTGCATGCACAAAGACCGAAGGTCAACCCTCTGCACCACAGAAACCAGGCATGGTGACACATGTCTTTTCCAAAACTCGAGGCGAAAACAGTAGCAGCAAGGTTCAAGGCTACATAAAGTGATCCGAGGCCAGCCTGGGCTATATGAGACACTGTCTTCTATCTTGTCTATTTCTGACTTCACAGCAATACAACACTGACGAAAACAAAGCTATTAATGAACAATTAAACTCTAGGCAATAGCTTGTGAAACATTAGCGAGACTTGACAAATGAGGACAATCAAATTAAGAGGCTTTACACACCAAAGGAAACAACTTCCACAGTGAGCCTACACTATGGCAAAAAGTCTTGCAACTCTTCATATTGAGCTTTAAATCTATTCATGTATGTTTGGGGAGGGTGAATGTGCATGCGAGTATAGCTGCCCATGCAGTTCAAATCAGAAATAAGGTACCATTCAGAATAGGTCAAGTAAAAATTACCCCATTGTGGTTCAGCTTCATTGCATGTGGCCTTTCTGCTCCTCTCTGAAGCTAATATGTGGAAATACTAAAATGAAAATGGAGATTCCAAAGTCTTCATGTGTATTAAGTTCCTTCTGTGACTCCTGCTTCTCCTAACGAATGGACTGTCAACGTCTCTGTGTGCCTGCTGCCTTTATCCAGATGATGTGAGCAGAGGAAACATACTCTTTACATGGCCATACCTCTAAGTGAAGATGGAACACTGAGATGTGATATGATATCCGTGACTGAACATCTTACAGACGGCGATGTAAAACCATTTGTAATCACCTTTACACATACATGCCTTATATGAAAGTCAGTAACTTCGGAATTATAAGTCTCCAAAGACTTTCAGGTCTGACTACTGGGAACGCATACCCTCCCGTGACTCACATTGATTTCTCTTCCAACTGCTTTCCTTTACCCACAGAGGGGGCTCAGACAAGATGTGTGTTTTGCACGTCTTGTTTGATAGTTTGAGCTTTCTGAGTATTTTTGAATTTTCTACCGGCATGAATGTGAATTGCATTTACAAAAGCCCAGGGAGAGGGTGAGGTCCCCAAACCTGGAGGTAATGATGCTTGTAAGCCACCCAGCTTACTAAACTCAGTTTCTCTACAAGAACAACAGGTGCTCTTAACCTCTGTACCATCTCTCCAGTTCAAAAGCTCTTATTTGTCTTTAATAAGTTCAGTTTGCCTCACCCTTTGAGTTGATAGTGAAGACAGGAGAAAGCTGGCAGTCTGGAAAACCCTGCAACTAGGCCCAGAACCCACCTCATCTATAATCTGATAGAGCACATGAAGAGGCACAGCCTGCAGACCCAAAGCTGCTGGGTCTCCCCAACACAGGGCAACAAGAGGAGGTCCAAGAGGAGTCCTAGTGAGGGCCCAGTATTGATGGAGTATCAGAAAGCAGAGACCTCGAACCAGACCAAAGATTCATTGCAACAAACGCTTTCAAGTAAAGAGTATTGGGGAATAGGTTGCAAGGGCAGGGGGGTAGATCTGAAGGAACAGGGAGATGAATGAGATTGAGGTGCATGAAATGAAAGCCACAAAGAAAAATTTCAGTTTGGCATTTCTGTTTGATCTTTCTTGCTTCCTTCATTGCCTTAGTTTTATTCTATTGCCCTCATGGGTATTTCACGGGTGCATTTCTAAGTTCTTCAGGATTAAGTGATGTTTCCTCCAGTGGCTCTGCGCCAGTTCCACTTCAAAAGGTTCAGGAACAGTCATATTTAGTAGGCACTACCTTCAACTTTTGGTAGCCAAATATGATCTTGAATGGATCCTCTTGCCTACACTTCATAAAAGCTGGAATTGCACGTGTGTGCTGCTCACTGGTCATTTTAAAAACTAGATTTGTGTGTGCGTGTTATGTTCATGTGGGTATATGCACGTGTGTGAGTGCCTTCCATGCTTGTATGTGTGTTATGTTCGTGTGAGTTAGTGCATGTGTGTCAGCACTGTATGCGTGAATGCATGTTTGTATTTGTGTGTATATGCTTGTAGAAGCTGGAAATAGCTATCAGATCCCCTGGAACTGGAATTACAGGCAGTTGTTAGCATGACAGAGAACAGCATCACCCGGCTTCCCTACCATCCTTCGCCTTATTTTATGACAAGGTATCAAGAAGCTCGAGGCTGGCTGACCAATGAGATGCATGTCTCTGCACCACCAGGACTGTAGTTGCAGACATATTACTGTCCTTATTTTTAACGTGTGTGGGTATGAAGGACCCAAACGTAGCTCCCCAAGCTTGGGAGGCAAGCCCTTTACTGACTGAATCAACTCCCCTACAGATAGTCTACTATAACCAACTTTTTTTTTGGTTTTTCGAGACAGGGTTTCTCTGTGGCTTTGGAGCCTGTGCTGGAACTAGCTCTGTAGACCAGGCTGGTCCTGAACTCACAGAGATCTGCCTGCCTCTGCCTCCCGAGTGCTGGGATTAAAGGCGTGTGCCACCATCGCCCGGCTTTATAACCAACTTTTGAATTACTTGACATTTGGACATTTCAAAGTGTTTGGAGTCAGTAAAGAACAATAAACATTTGGGGGAGTCAGGTTGTTTTTTAGTTCTTGTATTTCTCTTTTTGTGATTTGAGCATCTGTTGAGATGGTATTTCTTCTGGTTTTGTATGAAGATAAGGGGTGGCTTTACACTGAGAAACTTTCCCGTAAAGTCTTACTCTCTAGTGCTGCTCATTGAAGAGAAAAACAAACTGCAGTAACAGCTTCAAAAGGAGCAGATACAGAAATACGATAAATACGAAGGCAGGCAAGATGCTTACACCTGTAATCTTAGCACTGGGGAGACAGGAAGATTTCCGTGAGTTCCAGTTCAGCCGTGGTTACCCTACTTCAAAAACCAGTTGAAGGTGATGAGGTGGCAGCATGTGTAAATGTGCGTGCTTGATAGGCAAGCATGAGACCCTAATTCCAACTCCCCAGAACTCACATAAAAACCAGATGCATGATCTTAGTACATAATCTGCTACAGAGACACGGGAAAGTGAGACAGGAGACGCACCTGAAGCTTATGGGCATACATAGTGGAAAAACAAAGAAACGCTGCCTAAAATAACTGACACATGATGTTCTCCCTGAACTCACACCACCTACAAACACACACACCAATAACAGTAAGAACAGCAAATCACTTCTTAGTACATTTCTAGTGACTAAGAAACAAGTCCCTTCCATGAAGTTGTTCTGATTTAAGCTGGACATGTTGAGTCACTGTCGTAAATGACGGCTTACTGCTGTAATCCCAGCGGGTTGAAAGTTCAAGATCAAGAGTTCAAGGTTATCCTTAGCTATAGCAAGTCTGGGCCACATAAGACCCTCTCTCTTATCAGGCAGTGGTGGCATACACCTTTAATCCTAGCACCTGGAAAGTAAAATCAGGCAGATCTCTTAATTTGAAGCCACCTTGATCTATAGAGCAAGTTCCAGGACACTCATAAACCTTGTATCAAAAAACCCAAAAACGAAAACAACAAACAAACAAAAACAAAGACCCTCTCTTTGAAAAAGCCAAAGCAAGCAAACTATACGTGTGTGTGTGTGTGTGTGTGTGTGTGTGTGTGGTGTGCATCGGGATATACATAAATAGTATCGTGCAAGTACTAGGCATGAATTTTGACCATTTGTGAGTTTCTATCCTTGTCACTGCAGGTCCTATCACTGTTACTCCACAGTATGAAATTTATTGCCAGTTACACATTCTGAATTTACGTGAGCATGTATGTGAAGGTGCCCATGAAGGCTAGATGAGACTGTCTAGCTCTCCTGGAGCTGGAGCTAAAGGCTGTTGTGAGCCACCTTATATGGGTGCTGGGAACTATAACTCGGTCATATATGCATGGTCAAATACTGACATCTTTAGGTATTCATCTTCTTTGAGAAATGTAACTTTCAAACATTTTCCAAGAGTCTACAGGGTGTCTTTTGTGCATATTTTTTGAAACAAAAACTTCAATGTTTTGTTTTGTCTTTCAATACAGGGTTTCTCTATGTAATAGTTCTGGCTGTCCTGGAACTCACTCTGGCTTTGAACTCATAGAGACCCGCCTGCTTCTGCCTCCAAATGCTGGAATTAAAGGTGTGTGCCATCACTGCCCAGCAAGATTTTAATCTTTATGTGCCACCACTGGTTACATTTTTTCATGCTTTTGCTGCCATAAAAATGATGTTTTGCATTGACCTATAACTGAAAGGTGTACAGGGTGTTTGTCACGTTTTGTTTCCCTTTTTCATTAATTTTCTTTTGCCAATACCTGTCAGGCTATTTTAGCATCATGCCCTGAGAAGATTGTCTTTACTCCTCCATTGAATTGCTTTTGCAACTTTGATCAACCCACGTCAATTGGACAGGGAGGCCAGGCAGTGCTTCCCCTCAGCGCCCACATCCTTACTCTTCAAGCAACCAGGTAGCTGAAGAGGAAATCGGTTAGGTGGATGTAGTAGTGAATGAGGGGAGGGAAGGGGGCCGGTGTCGAGGTGACTGGGCTTTTATGGTTATTTTCTTGCTGAAGGAGCCTTTTGTCTCCCAAAGACCAGGAAGAGATCTGTTAACCCTGCTCCCACAAAAGTGGAGTTGAAGCCAAAGGACAAGTAAGAAAGAGAAATCTAGAGACAAAAGGAAAGCAGAGAGAAAATGGAAAGGGGGGGGAATTAACCAAGAAACTGGCTGAGCAAGAAACTGCCTGCAGAAAATGGAGACTGAAAACCAGAAGTGAGCCTCTGTCAGGACAGGAGAGAGAAGCAGGTCTGGTCTCTCCCACTTTGTCTAATCGGTGCTCCTATCTCCCTTCTGGCACAGCCCAGAGGATTATTTTTTGGCAACTATGTTGTAAATGAAGTTTTTTTGTTTAATTGTTTGTTTCTATGTTGTTTGTTTGTTTGATTTTTTTATTGTTAGAAACATTTTTTTGTTGTTTAATTCCTTTTTTTAAGGACTTGTTTATTTTCCTGGGTGGTGCTGACATCTTATGCATTTAATTCCATCATTAAAGAATCAGAGGCAGCTGGAGCTCTGTGAGTTCAAGGCTGGCCTGACTGCACTGGGGGGGAGGGGGATGGATAGCGAGGCTCAACTCTTGACCCCTTAGTCTGCGCTCAGGAGGTTCCGATGTCCTGTTCCAGGCTGGTATCGGGTGCTGGATCAATCCTTGACCGCATAATCTCTGGCCATGTGCTAGTCTATCTCAGAATGTAGGGCCTTGGACTCCGCTTTTTGGGTGACCGAGTCTCAGGAGACAAGGCTTTTAGTTCTCTACTCTCGAAGATGAAGCTTTGCTCTTGGAATGGCAAAGCGTTCTGAAAGGCAGAGTATCTTGTCTGTTCTCAGGAGACAGACCTTCAATGTCCACTCTCAGGGAATAAGGCTTTGCATTCAGGATGCAAGGTGTTAAATGTCTGCTTTTGGGAGATGAAGCTCTGTACTCGTGAGACAGAGCATTAAATGTTTAGGCAAGACGTTTAATTTTTTTGCCTTTCGGGAGACAGGCTTGGAGGATCTCTCTTTCCACGGAGGCCGGATAACCGAGCCATTGTGAGAAGTGAGATGAGATGACTGTCCTCCTTCAGCCCTCTCTTTATGCCAGTTCGAAACTGCCCCTCGTTTGATCCTTCCGATAAGCAGGTGTCCTAGGTTATCAGTATCGACTGGTCACAGAAGCGTGAGGGTCCCTCTTGTGTGGCAAGGTTACTTTGTTACCACGGTTGTTGGTTACATCCCCCCCCCCCACCCCATCTGGCAGGGCCAGAAGGCTGTGGCAGCCTTTAAGCAGACAAATGTTCTCTTAAAATTTTACCTTAGTAATTTTCCACACTACACACAAGAAAAAATGCTTTTTCATTGCACCAAGTTACATTCATTGAGGCTCCTTGAGTCACGTTTTAAAATGCTCATAATTAAATATATACATATATGTATATATAAGTATGAATATAGATTTACTTAGTGTGTGCGCGCGTGCCTGTGCTCAAGCACCTGTATCACAGTATGCACGTATGGACGGAGACCAGAGGGACAGCTTACTGGAGTCTGTTCTCCCCATTCCTAATGCGGATCCTGTGAAGTGGATTGAAAGCAGGTCATCAGGTTTCGAGGCAGGCACCTTTCTGTGCTCAGCCATCTCTCTAGCTCTTGGGTAAAATTCAAAACAGATACTTACTTTTGAGTTTTATTTGTGTACATGTGCATACGTTTGCCTGTGTAGCGGTATGTGCACGTTAGTTCAGCCAGCGGTGGGGGCAGGGTTAGCTCCTGGAGTTACAGTTGCGAGCCCATCATCCTTACATGGATACTAAGTGACTGAACTTTTATCTTTTGCAAGAGCAGTAAGCACATTTAACCACTGAGCCATCTCTCCTGCCCCCGTGCCTCTTGGTGCAATAGGTAAAATGAGAATCTTCTTTTTAAAACGGAGGTTTTGTTCTCTCCCTTTATTGATAACACAGGATCCCTTTCTAATTTGTGTAGTAACCAGTATTGGTGAGAATGCCCAAATCCGAAGGGGTTATTGTCAGACTCGGCCCTGTGACTTGCCCTATAAATTTCCTAGAGACAAGGCATAATCTCGTAAGTCTTTATACAAAGTTTGTGGACAATCCCAGGCATATGGCGTACTTCTCTAGCTAATGTCTGTAACATGTGGATAGCCATAGCAGTTAGCAGCTAAAGCAATCCTGGCGGCTAAAACTACAGAAGCTGCTCTGACACAGGTCTCAGAATGCAACACAAAGCCCTCTTCTACAGAAGCAGAAAGAAGAAACTCCAGAGGGGAAAAGGAAAACAAAGGGAAGGTGGGCAAGAAGAGGGGGAAACATAAAAAGAGCAAACACAGGCAGCTTTTAGAGGAACCGCGAGCGGTCAGTCATCTGCGAAAGCCGCCGGGTTACGTAGCTGGCGTAGCCATTTGTGGAGAGCGCGGTGCGGATCTGGGACTATTCGGCTGTGATGAAAGCTCGTCTGTGTTTCCCCCTTCCGCCCCCGTTTTCTCGGCGCCAGAAATCCAGTGTTGTATAACGTGTAAAATGGCCGGGTCGGGACATATGCTTACTTTCCGGGATTAGCAAGGCAGCTAGAGGATGACTCTATAAGGAGAGTGGAGAAACTGGCCAGTTAATGTGTCTGCCAGAATGAGTGCCCGGCCTCGCTCTGGTCAGAGAGGTGACCCGGACATCAGCCACTACTCCGACCACGTGTTCTGCCAAGCGGGAGGAGTAGCCGCCTTGCATTCCCTGTTTCTCCCCTACTTCACTGTACGTGGTAAGTGGTCAGTGTCCGCGTCCCCCGACCTCCACGGATGAGCCCGTCAAGCCAGTGAGGCCGATTCGTACCGAAAGGCTCAGTGTAGAGGTTTCCTTTCGTTTTCCTTTGTCTAATTGGGGTTTTACGCGTACCGCGAATCTCCAAAATGTAGTGTTTACTTCAGCCCTGCAGAGGCCTCCACGATCAGCGTAACCTATTGGGCCTCAGCTCTTTCTAACAAAACTTAGTACTTTGATAAAACTAACTTGTTTGTAACATATTAATTATGGTATGTTGAGCTTTCCTTCCATGCCTTTCATATGTACCCCAAATGAGGACCCGAGTATATAACACTGAATATGTGGTCTGGAAGCAGATGAGTGCTTGTTATAATTGGACTTAAAGAATGTTCTGATGTTTTGTTGTCCTATGCTCATTTGGTCAAAAGAAATTTCATTATCTTTTACTTAGGTACTGCTGAATAAAGTTTGAGTTGTTACAATCATTTGGAAGCATTAATGTAGCAATATTTAGGGAAAAATACAGATATTACTTGACCAAGTATATGGAATACTAAGGCTCAATATCTGGAATTCAGTAGTCTGGCTTTTAAGGATCCATCCTTCAGAAAGAAAAGCAGCAGTATATAAATAAAAAAAGTGGATGCTTGTGCAGCTTTCTTTTTGTGGCAAGTAACAAGAAATAAGCTGAGCATCCATCAGTAGCAGAATGTTAGAAAAAGTTTGTATATTTGTTCTTTGGTATAACAGATGTTATAGCTTGTTACATTAAGTTGGAGAATTCTATGATCTCATTTTTTCCCATGTATGTATCGGGTGACAAAGGAATGTTAAAATGAACTTTATGTTTTAGAAAATTATTTTGGTAGCATTATATGTTGTGAGCTAATTAAGACAAAATACAAACGGGATAAAACCAAACATTAACATTATAGTTGAACTTTTGCTGTATTTGTCAATGATTGTATCTCACTCTTTTGCCCTCCCCTAGAGTAACTATAATGCCTTTCGTCCTGAGTACTGGTTATAGAACCCAGGGCCCTGTGAGGCTAGGCAATAATGCTACCCCTGAACTGTATCTAGGCCTCCCCCTTTGTTAAGATTTATTTTTAATTCTGTATGTGTGTAGGAATGTGCACATGAGTACAGCTGCCAATGGAAGTCAGAAGAAACCATAGGATTCCTTGGAGCTGACGTTACAGTATAGGGTAAGAATCTTAATTTTGTAGAGGTACAAATAATTAGGCAGAGTTTAATGATGTGAATGACTTCTCCAACAGAGATCAACATTTTGTACCGTATCATGAAACATACAATACGTTTTATTCATTAAAACAAATTGCATTTCTCTCATGCCTAAAAAGAGCTGTCGAATTCACGTTTACTTGGACAAAACCTATTTTCAGTCATCCCCCTCGTTTTTTGAAACAAAATCTTAATGTAGCCGAAGCTATCCATGTCTCTCACTCACCACTTCTAACTCCCACCTTTCCCAGCTTGTGTCTCTTATTTCCAGATATTACTATGTTAGCCCAGGCTGGTCTTAAAGTTGTAATATTTCTGCCTCAGCCTCCAAAATAGCTGAGATTACAGGCCCAGCTTCTCCATTTCCCCGTTTTTTTTTTTTTTTTGGTGACTTATGAAGTTCTAGCACAGTCAGTCTTTTGCATGAAAGCTCACAGTCTCTTGTAAATTCGGCTCCAAGGGATCCAACCCATCTTCTGACCTCCCTGGATACCAGGCACGTGGTACACAAACATGCATGTAAGAAAAAAATCATTCATACACATGCAATAAATAAATTAATTTTTTGTCTTTTTGGTTTTTTAAATATGTATTTATTTTTATTTCATGTGCATTGGTTTTTTGCCTGCATGTATGTTTGTGTAAGAGTTTCAGATCCCCTGGAACTGGAATGACAAGAAGTTGTGAGCTGCCATGTTGGTGCTGAGAATTGAACCCAGATTCTCAGAAGAGCAGCCAATGCTTTTAATCACTAACCCATCTCTCCAGAACAAATTGATTTTTTTAATAAATAAAGACAACAAAAAAATTTTTTTAAGTATTTTCATTTGCATAGGACATTACAGGGCCAGAATAATGAGTCCTTGCCGGTTATTAATCTCTATTACTTATGGATACAGGGCAACTATTCCCACTGCATAGATGAAGGAGGCTTTGAACAAAGCTTTAATAAGTTAGAACATCAACTCCGAGTCACTACAATTTCCTGCCCCTCTAATTATCTCACCCTGACTGTGTAAGTGGGATATGATTACTAGAGAAATGTGGGTGGATATTGTCTTTCTACCAAGGGGAAAGCGCAGGCTGGAGTTGGGTACTTGGGTGTGTCCCCTTTCCATGTCCTATAGTCTCTGATAAAGCAGTTTAGTTTGAGCGTTGTTCAGAAGAAAATGCTCTTGTGTATTGCAGGAACGGCTGAATGTATATGAAGGTGGTTGTACCTGCCTCCCCTCTTGAAGCATATTTTCTCTGATCATCATGAAACCTGAGGTAAAAGTCATAAAGAATTTTTGGACTCTGTATGTCATCGCTCTCCCTGTGCCCAGGGTTTATTTTGTTGTTGTTCATTATTCTCTCTCTGTCTCTCTGAGATGGGGTTTCTCTGTGTAACAGCCCTGGCTGTCTTAGAACTAGCTCTTGTAGACCAGGCTGGCCTTGAACTCACAAGACTCGCCTACCTCTGCCTCACGAGTGCTGAGATTAAAGGCCTGTGCCATCACAGCCTGGTTAGAATGACAGTTTTCAAGCTCTGAACATTCTGGAGAGTAAACCAGAAATCCTCTATACGTTTTTGGCACAGCTAGTTAGTTTCCATAAAACTTCTGCTAGGAGTTTTGGATTACTTAGAATCTGTAGGTCTGTTTGGAGAGCATCACATTTCATTAATGCCCCCTTTTTCTTTTTCTTTCTTTCTCTCTCTCTTTCTTTTTTTCTTTCTTTCTTTTATTCATTCATTCATTTATTTATTTTGTTTTTTGTTTTTTTGAGACAGGGATTTTCTGTAGCTTTGGAGCCGGTCCTGGAACTAGCTCTTGTAGACCAGGCTGGCCTCGAACTCACAGAAATCCGCCTGCCTCTGCCTCCTGACTGCTGCGATTAAAAGCGTGTGCCACCATCGTCCAGCTGTTTTTCAGCATATAGACAATGTTGAATGGACCTTGTTACACATTCATCATTTCGGTATTGTAGCAATGTAATAATGATGTTTTTCCTACTGTTGCATAAATTAGACATTACAAATTTTCAGTTTATTTTGGCTTGTTTTGAGCATATTAGTACATTGATTTTTCTTTTGAGACAGGCTCTTATGTAACTCAGGCTGGCCCCAAACTCATCCTGTAGTTGAGTCTGTCCTTGAACCCCTGTTCATCTTGTCTTCATTTCTCAACTGCTGGGATTACAGATGTGCGCCACTACACAGTTTTCACATGGATTTTCATTACTGGCTTTGTATAGTTTTAGCTTGATGAAACACTCTACTGCCTATTTGTTATCTTTTTTGTACATTCTTTAAGGTTTTCTTTTTCCTTTTTTTAGCCCCCTCTCCCCAGTATTAGGGTTGGAACTCAGGATGGAACATGCTAGGCAACACTCCACCACTGAACTACTCTTCAGCCCTTGAAATTTTTTTTCTTTTGAGGCAGGGAGTCTTCCTCCTTCAGCATCTAGAGTAGGTGGGATTGCAGAGATGTGCCAGTGCGCCTAAGTTGCCTTGGGATACTCTACTCTAGACAGTTGTGTTTCCATCAGTCTTCTGCTTGTTTTCTCTCAGCCCTCCTTTTTTATTTTCAAACCTTATTGCATCGACCAGAACCACCACTGTTCTGGATTGACAGTAAGGAACTTCTGTGTTGTATTACAATCTTTTGCCTTCCTTCCTTGCTTTTTTCTCTTCTTTCCTTCCTTCTCTCTCTCTCTCTCTCTCTCTCTCTCTCTCTCTCTCTCTCTCTCTCTCTCTCTCTCTCTCTTTCTTTTCAAAACAGGGCTCTTCTGTATAGCACAGGCTGTCCTGGAACCAGACTTTGAACTCAAAGATTTGCCTGCCTCTGCCTCTTGAGTGCTGGGATTAAAGGCGTGTGCATTACCACCTGACATTTTATTACAATCTTAAGAGAACTATTAAGCATTGCTGATTTATTTATGCATACTCTATGTTGTGGCAGCATTTCCTTCTATTCCTATTTAGCTAAGATGTGTGTGTGTGTGTATGTGTATGTGTATGTGTATGTGTGTGTAACTCCAAGATACATGCAGGCAAAACACAAATGCACATAAAAGAAAGAAAGTTACAAACCGCTATGCATATAAGGCCAAATTAGAGTCCTTTATTGGCCAGCAATGGAGAACAGGCTCTTGCCCCAAAGAACTCTCAGCACTGAAGTTCAAAGGTAGAACCTTTGTAAAGGAACAAAGCATAATTATGTCATTGTCAGATGTGGGTCAGGGGAACCTGTAACATTTGTTTTGATTATACAGTCAGCAGATATTTTGATTATTTATCTAGACCATGGTCAGGGTCATGGAAAGTTCTGAATATGCTGCCAAGGTAGGCATGGCTTTTCAAGGGGTTAGGGACTGAAAGGTGTCTGAGCAAAGTGGAGTTAGAGGATGATCAGGACAAGATGGCGTTACCACAGTCACTCCAGCAGTACTTGGGAATAAGTCTCTGTCCAGAGCAGTCTGCAAGCACTCTACCACTGACCTGTGTTCCCAGCCCAGTTTTTTTTTTTCGCTAATCAATTTTTTAAAGATAAAGCCTCACTTTGTAGTCTAGGTTACCCTTGAAGTCCCAATCCTGACTCAGCTTCACAAGTGCTAGGATTGCAGGTATGTTTCACCATGCCTATGGATTTTTTTAAAAGTTTAACCTTCCTTGTGGTCTGACAATAAACTCCATTGGCCTGTGGTATGTTTTGTGTTTTGTAAGTAAGTACATACTTACATACTTACATACATACATACGTTTTTGAGACAGAGTTTCTTTGTTCTGGGACTCACTTTGCAGAGCAGACTGGCTTCAAACTTAGAGTCCGTCTGCCTCTGCCGCCCGGGTGCCTTGATTACAGGTGTAGTGCTAACACCGCCCAGCTTAGTATGTTATCTTCTTACGAGCACCACGATCCAAGTGTCTCGGCCACCCAACACTAGATTAATAGACGCTGTTGTACTGCCTTAAGAAACAAAATGAAACATAGTTACTGGGGATCTGAATTCAAATGTTCATGCATACACAGAAAGCAGTTTACCCCGGTAGCTATCTCCCAGGCACTAATTCCTTTTACACAGTATTTTATTTCATTTCATATTTTGGTACAGGTCTTGTACCAAGAGCTACTGATCTGTATTTTTATTTTTCTTTACTCACTTGCATTCTCATTGGTTTTGAAATCAGGGCATCTGGACCAATAGTTGAGGGGCGGCTTTTGCTTTTCATTTGTTTAGGTAAGCTGATGTTTTTGTTGTTTGTTTGTTTTTGGCTTTTTGAGACAGGGTTTCTCTGTAGCTTTGGAGCCTGTCCTGGAACTAGCTCTTGTAGACCAGACTGGCCTCAAAATCACAGAGATCCACCTGCCTCTACCTCCCAAGTGCTGGGATTAAAGGCGTGCGCTACCTCGCCAGGCTTGTTTCTATTTTTAATGTTTGTTTGTTCCTGTTTTGAAGGCAGAGTTTTACTTTGTAGCCCAAGGTATCCTTGATGTCACTCTTGGGAGGGAACAAAATTAAACTTAAGCTTAATTTCTGCTCTTGTTATGATATTTAACCATTAGTTTGTATTAATTGCAAGCTAATCTATTGTTTTTATCCCAGGCACGCATGTATGTGTGCATGTGTGTGCAGGCATAGTAATTTGGAGTTCAGAGATTAACTTCAGGTGTCTTCCTCTATTACTCTCCACCTTGTTTGTTTAACTTTTAAATTTATTTTATGTGTATGGATGTCTTGCCTGCTTGTATGTCTGCATACTACTGTGTGCTTGGTGCCCAGGTGGAGGACAGAAGAGGGAACTGTCCCCTGGAACTGGAGTTACAGGCAATCGTAAACAGGAGCTGGGAATGAACCTGGGTCCTCTGGAAGATCAGCCAGTGCCCTTCATTGCTGAGCCATCTCTCCAGCCCCCACCTTATGGTTTTGAGACAGGGTGTAGAGGTTTGAATGAGATGTCCCTCATAGTCTCAGACAGTTGAATACTTGGTCCCTAGTTGATGGGTGGCATTGTTTGGAAAAGCTCAAGGGGTCCAACCTCGTTGGCATGGCACTGGATGCAGGTTTTGAGTGTTTAAAGACTTGCGCCATTCTGACTTCACCCTCTCCGCATCATGCTTCCTCCCAGCTGCTCTCCTGCTACCGTGCCGCTGCCTCAACTCCACCCTCCTGGACTAACCCTCTGGAACTGTAAGCCCAAAGAATCTCTTTCTTTTCTAAATTGACTTGATCATCTTTTATCACAACACTAGAAAAGTAACTAATACATAGGGTTTCTCCTGAAACCTGGAGCTGCTCGCTTTAGGCAGACTAGCCGGCTAACAAGCCCGTGGAATCCCACGTGTTTCTGCCCACTAGTGCTGCAGTGTGCCACCATCCCCAGCTTTTACAGATGGGCTTGGGGTCTGAACTCAGGCCTTCATTGGTTGCAGAGCCAACTCAACTCAATGAACTATCTCTCATGGCTCTTGGTAAACCTGTCCCAGGGTGTGACTCAAATGAATTTATGTCATTTTTCAATGGAGTATTTGAAGCCTATGAAAGAGCCCAAGAATAGCTACTCCCAAATATGATGCTCTGTTATTTATACTCATTATAGTAAACGAGAGCAGAAGATTCTAGAAAAGTATAACTCTGTCTGCTTACAAAGCTCAGAGCTGCTGAAGAATATAATAATTACCTCTATATTCTTTCTTGAATTCTTTTTTTTCCTTTGAGACAGGGTTTCTCTGTGTAGACCGGGATGGCCCTGAACTCAGAAGGCATGCACCACTACTCCTGGCTCTTCTTTACATGTTCATTAAACTGATTTTGTCACAGGGAGAAAGACTGGAAACTATATACACATAGACATCCCTCTGCCACACACTATTGCCTTGTTCTCAAGCTTCATTCAGTGGTCCAAAGAAAAGCATCCACAAGCCGGGTGATGGTGAAGCACGCCTTTAATCCCAGCACTAGGGAGGCAGAGGCAGGCAGATCTCTGTGAGTTTGAGCCTGGTCTACAAAAGCTAGTTCCAGGAAAGGCTCCAAAACTACAGAGAAACCCTGTCTCGAAAAACCAAAAAAAAAAAAAAAAAAAAAAAAAAAGAAAGAAAGAAAGAAAGAAAAGCATCCACAAGCAGTTGTCTATCAATAGCGATGGTTCTCAACCTTCCCAATGCTACAGCCCGTCAGTGCAACACTCATGCTGTGGTGACTCCCAAGCATAAAACTATTTTCATTCTCAACCCACCAGAGACACTAAATGTGTAAGAATGAAAGACTACCTTTGTTTAGAATGGGAGTCACTCAGAGTTCACAATGGACAGTTTTAATCTTGGGGTTTAATTTCACAATCATTTCAGAATGTAAATGGTAGAGCCACAGACAAATTATGGTATCCATTGCTTTTTAAATGGTTTTAATTTGTATATCTTTTGTACATGTGTCTTATCTTAGATATTTGGCTAATTTTAATTGGTTTTGTTAACATTTGGTGCTGCCAACTGTCAGGACATTAAGAATAAATTGATTTGGAAATCTTAAAAAAAACTATTTTCATTGCTGCTTCATAACTGTAATCTTGCTATTCTTGTGAACTGTATCACAAATATTCTTTGAAGATAGAGGTTTAACTGGGTCACAACCCACAGGTTGAGAACCACTGATCTATAGGTTCAGTAGAAAGTCGTAGCCCCATTCCATGTTTCTCTAAGTTCAGTGAAGTCCCATAAAAATCCCTTTACTACACCCCCTGAACTGTACACACACCACCCTTTCCTGCACCCCAATGGAAAATGGGGCATATGTAAGCTTCTGAACTATGCTTGATTACTTCCAAGCATATAACAAGTTTGTAAGCCTGTTCTCTTATTTGATTTGATCTCTCACTTCCTTCTAGGGAGGTTTTATATAGATTGAGTGATCAATCAACTAGTTTTCTCTGCGAAACTAGACCATGGTTCTTCATTCTTTAGTTTATTGCTTTCAGCTAGTTAGAATTTCCTGTTTGCTGCTCATCACCAATTCTATTGTGACTGGGAGCATCCCTAGGCTGTTGCTTTCTCCCCCCCCCCCCCATCATTGTGTCCCAAATCAGTTTTCTTAAGGATGCCTTTCTGGGCTGTGTCTCCCTGCATCCTGGGCTCCGCATCTGCCCCACTGCTCTGCAGCTGAAGGCAGAACACGTGGCTTGTTTTTCTTGGAGTGATGCCCCAGCTTTACAGGGAGTTTGACAAGGAGCTCTAACCTCTGATTTCCTAAAGAATTATGTCACCCTCAGGTGGCTTTTGTGCTATTTCTTAAAGGTCTTCAAGATGTTCCATGTAACTAACTGTCTTTAGTCCTGTAGCAGTCCTTGATTTTTAGTGTTTGATGACATCCTTTAGCCTTGTGACTGGCAGAAAATATGCCTCATCTGCTTGATTTATTATGTCTTTTTTTTTTAAAGTTTAAGTTCCATTTTATTTTTCCAAGGTGTTTTCTTCTATCTTTATGAAGCCACTTTACATGGGCTTTGGTGGAGGTTATGGTACAGCACCAGCAGGTCTAAATCGTGGTGGGGGTGTTCGGTCCTTCTGAGCTGCCCGAGATCGATTCCTGACTACCTTGCTATGAATAACACAGCTCACACAGTTTTCATATTTTCATGGCTCTCTTTCTTGGATTTTTGGTTTTTTTTAGCTTGTGTGATTTTTCTATGGTGTATGTATGAGATGGCAAGAACACATAAGGAATAAGGAGAAAAGAGGCTTTCAGGATTCTGTATGCCATTCACCTTGTTTTGATGCAGGACCTACAACCAGCCAGCTCCTCCTGTAGTACTCTAGTCTAGTTTGCAGAAAAGCAGACAGCTCAGGCCTCCTACCTAGTTCAAGGTCTTAGGGCTGGGCCAGGGAGATGGATGGATCACTGGGTAAAAGTACTTGCAGTGCAAGTCTCAGCACCGAATTTGGTTCCTGGAACCAACAACAGCAACAAGGGCTGCACGCAGTAGCACACATCTGGAATCCCAGCACACCTTCAGAGAGATGGAGGCAGAGACCGGTGAAACAGCCGGAAGCTTGCAGATCAGTTAACCTGGAGAAAGCAGCCCAGTGGCAAAACTGACTCCTGAGTGCTGTTGTCCTCTGACCTCCACGTGCACTCCATGGCATCGCACTTCAACACTTGATGGGGGCAACCTTAGCCTTAGCGGGCTCCCTTTCAGTATGGGAGGATGACCCCAACCCCCCCAAACAAGGATCCTTTCAATTACTCCATTTCCTCTCCCTTAATCTTAACATCTATATATTTGAACAAGGCTTCTTCTTCAGTGGCACCTTGACCTGTATCTTCTCATCAGCAAGACTGGAACTTTCACCCCGATAAATGTATGCCCCCCAACATAAATGCCGCTACCAATAGTCAAAGCTTCCCAGCTCCTTTGACTGGTCCATAAAGGCTAAAAGACACATAACTAAGCCTATCCTTTCGATATGATCAAAGGGTTAATGACTGATGTTGGCACAGGAATAAGGGTCTAACTGCATCCTTTGTGCACTCTTATTCCTTATCTGAGACATACAAGAAATCCTTGATGAAGTTTCTCGGTTTCTAACAAGAATCTAAGAGTGGGACTGGAGAGCTGACTCGGAGGTTAAGAGCACTTGCTGCTCTTTCAGAGAATCTAGGTTTAGTTCCTTGCTGGAGACCAGCTTTGGCAGTGGGTGGGGGTAAGGGCTCAGGTCCCTCGCCAGTTCCTAGCACCCGCAACTGCCTGCAACTCTTAAGTCCAAGAGTTCTAGGGGGTCCAACACACTCTTTTGGCATCTGCAGGCACTGGGCACTCATGTGGCACATATACGTATATACAGGCAAAACACTCATGCACATAAAATAAATATTTAAAAAGAAAAAAAAAGAGCCTAGTATCAGGTAGGGGTTGATTCCTTGTCAGTGATCACTCTAGCGGCCTGAATTACTTGATTACAGACAAGGGGACTTGGACTCTTTGGGGGAAAGCAGTAGTGTTTTTCTGTAAGTCATTCTGCCTGGGTCAGGTTACAGAAACAGACTTGGCTGTATTTCAAAAACTGGAAGCGGTTATCAGAATTCTGGAACAAATGGCTTTAGAACTCATCCTGAGCGACTGTCTCATGCCAGCTGTCACCACTTTTTTTTTCTTTTCAGGACAGGGTTTCTCTATGTAACAGTCCTGGTTGTCCTGGAACTCACTCTGTACACCGCCTCCCTCTGCCTCCCAAGTGCTGGAAGTAAATTAAAGGCGTGCACCACCCAGCTGTACTACCCAGCCAGCTGTCACCACTTTGATAAGTCCTTCTCTAGTCCACCATCCAGATTTATCAAACCACCAAGCCTGTACTATCTCCGATGTGTGAATTCAGATACCCGCCTCTGATTCAAAGACTGCCGCTTGATAACCATGTCTTACTTCAGCAGCAAGTGTCCAGAATGATCTCAGTGCCACCTAGCCTCTGCCACCACCTCCTTTTCTATAAAATTGTCCCTCTGTTCCTTTTACACAGACAAAAAGGCTGAAAATATTATGTCATGTAAATGAGGAGTGTGGCCGGGCAGTGGTGGCACATGCCTTTAACCCCAGCACTTGGGAGGCAGAGGCAGGCAGATCTCTGTGAGTTTGAGGCTAGCTTGGTCTATAGACTTCAAAGCTGAGAAACCCTGTCTCTAAAAACAAAACAGAACAAAATAAAAAAAAAAGTGTGGACTATGTCCTCAGAACGGGCCTTCCAGGTAGCAAGGCCCCAAACAGAGAGAGCTGCAGGCAAGGTCATACTAGGCCCAGGGCCTAGAAGCTGCTGGGAACTGGTACAATGCATATAAGTTCTATACTCATTAGGCTCACTGTCCTGTGGAATTTTCCAGATGCTTTTTTTTTCCCTTGAGACAGGTTTTTTTCTATAGCTTTGGAGCCTGTCCTAGAACTTGCTCATAGACATGGCTGGCCTGGAATTTACAGAGATCCATCTGTTTCTGCTTTCCAAGTGCTGGGATTAAAGGTGTGTGCCACCACCTCCAGATGCTTTTTTTTTTTTATCTTAAGATGTGCTTGAGATGTACCTAGCCCAGCCCAAATCACAAAATTTATAGTGCCTTTTATCCCAGTTTGGTAATACCAACCAACTTGGGGCTTTCTTTAATTTTTATTTTATGTGCGTTGGCGTTTTGCCATGGGTATCAGGTCCCCTGGATCCTAGAGCTACAGACAGTTGTGAACTGCTGTGTGGGTGCTGGAAATTGAACTCAGGTCCCGTGGAAGAGCAGCCAAAGTTTTTAACCCCTGAGTCATCTCTTCAGCCCAACTTGGGGCTTTTTTGTGGCACACTTCTCCCTCGCTACGGGATCTTAAAAGAACACCCTTTGCTTTCCCTGGGTGGCCTAAAGCACTACCTCAGACCATACTGTGCTGCTGCCTTGAATAAACCTTTTGTCTGAAAGTCCCTCCTTTGGCCCATAGTGATGCATAGCTGAGCATTTGTTGACATAAAACAGTACAGTTTGCCGAATCACTTGCCTCTTCCTCTCATGACAAAATTTCTCTGCAGCATGCTGTGTTTGAACTTTAGTTCAGCTATTGCTTTCATGCACACTTGTACTGTGTTATCAACTAAGCAAGTGTACTAGTTTCAATTCTTTGTGACACACAGTGTTTGCAGTATCTTCGCCAGGCAGAAAAAAAACCTGATCTTTTTCTTATAAGAAAGCAAAACAAACTCACCATCCATTAGTTTTGTTCATAAAATTGCAGTAATTCCGTAATATCTTTTTTTTTAGGATTTTTTTCCAAGGGGGGACACATGCATGCGTGTGCATGCATGTATGCTCGCATATGCTCACAGAAACTGGAAAAATAAGTCAGCGGCCCTGAAGTTGGAGTTACAGGCAGATGTGAGTTGCCATGTGGGCACTGGGAAACTTACCTGTTAGAGCAGCTGGTCCTCTTCCCTGCTGAGCCATTCCCACCAAGCCCAATGATTCAGTAACATCTTTAGACTCCTTTCCTAATTCTACTTTGGATATTTTTTTGAGTGGATGGGTTTATTTAGCAGTAAGTTTGAAACTCTTGCTTTAAGCAAGGGTACTAAAGTAATTATACCAGGAACAGACAA